ACAGTCCAAAATACATGTCGTGAGATCAGATCTGAGCCCCAATTAAAACACCTGAACTGCATACATGGGCAAACAAATTATTTTTATGGAATAATTTTCAAGCCTACACTAACCCCTGAACTGCTCCCCACTTCTCTGTAAGTTATATCCATACCGTCCACAGGAAACACTTTTTCCATGGCATCCTTATCCTGATGATAAATCATAAACTGCAGAGAAAATGTATCACACAGTGCTTTGGTCATTTAAAAATGCCTAGGCAAACATAGAGAGGTAATAACCCTCAAACCAGTAAATATCTCCACTGCTCATTTTGTATCACCAACAGTTATACTGCAAATATGCACAACCTTGCGTTACAGATCACTATCATCCCCAAAGAAGAAAGCTAAGGTTGCAAATCTTTGGAGGTCAAGGCCTACAGAGTTTGCTCACACCTGCAGCCCTATTCCACCAATGATAACATTTCCGTAAATCCAATCATCAACCAATTCAGGTGAACTTTTGCGTTCTAAAAGCAAACATAGACTATTTAAACTAGGACAAATTAACTTTTCAGAGCCAAAGCTTTCTTTAGGCGACTGATCTTAAAAGCCTGTGCATTTATTCATAGTTAGGAAAAATTGTGGCAATGAATCTGAAATCCATTCTGCCCTTGTTAAGGGCAATTCATTTCCCTTCAGAATCTTTTTACATATCATTTTCATAACAAGTGCTTATTAAAACACAAACTTTGCTAAACCAGAACAGACACACAGAGAGAAACTTTCAAAAGATAAGTGCAGGATAAAAATACGGTTTTTCTATGTAGGTAATGTAAGATTGAATACACAAAACCTGACGTATATTTTAATATTTTCATTGCGGCTTTGTGATTTTAATGCAAGTTGGGAGGTAAGCAAAGGGGGGGGGCGGGGAGAGAGAGAAACTATACAAGGATTTAGATCATACATGTTATGAAAACTTCCAGACCTTGGGATCAAAGCCTAAAGTGATAGTTTGTACTAAATAGACAGAAATCATCGCACAAAAAATTGAAGTAGTTACATTAGGAACACTGCAAGTGTCTTTCGAAATGAGATTAACACTGACAATTTTCCAACAAAGACAAAGAAGGGATAAAATCACCACAGTGAAATGCTTTCGTAAAAGATATATTTTGGCAGTGCTGAGTTCTCTATTGAATCAAACCTTTCAGTTTGTGTCAGAATTTTCATAAAAAGCTGCACACTTTTTTGTCCCATTACATTCAATGTACTTTATCAATGTACTGCCTATTTTATCACTGGAGAGAGAGGAAAAATCAGCAAATGAAATGGGACATTTTTATTGAAATGTCTCTAAAACTGGAAGAGTTGGATTAGATATGACTGCTCTGACAAACCCAGAAGATAATCTGGAAAAAACAACTATTCAGTCATCAAACATTATATATTCTCTTAAACTTCCATTTAGGAACAAAATGTTTCAATCCAGTTTACACACTAAATCAACAGGCATAATGCAGAAATGCCTAATCTTTTCCATGCCTGCAGCTTTCAAGCATCTTTTCCTATCCAATCAGGAGAATCCTTACAACTTTGCGCCATTTTCTTTCCATCTTGTCCTGCTTGTGCCTCTTGTCTAACTTCACAAAACCTGTAAAAATCAATGTCGCTTGGAATGAATAAGCAGCACAAGAACCCTGAAGCACTGACGTACCTTAAAGCTTTCCAAACACATTAATTTAATTTATGCCAAACCACAATTATGGACTTAATAGAATGATATAATCCCTTCTCCCATAAACAGAAAAAGAGGGATAGAGTAAGACTTGCATGCACTTTGGATTGACACCTTTTCAAAATTAACAAGCCACACACATTGCTTTACTCTAAAGCAGAGTTGTCAAACTCGCGACGACATGTTGTTGTCACATGAGGTATTGCAACTTTTTCCCCTTCGCTAAAACAGAGGTGGATGCATGACGTACTTGGCCCATGGGCCACACATTTGACACCCCTGCTCTAAAGCAATGGTTTTTCAAACCTGGCAACTTTAAAATATATTAACTTCCACTCCCAGAATTCCCCAGCCAGAATCTTAAAGCTACCAAGATTAAAAAACCCTGCCATGAAGATTCCTGACACCACAGAACGAAGACCAACAAATGCACTAAATTATTATTAAACTTCAATACAAAAGCCCATCTTTGTATGGTTCCATACAAAGGAAATCCAGTTCCAGGAAATTGATTCCATTGTGCTGGATGTTTCTGGCAAACATCAGGCCACCATTTATCTGGGTTGGGTTATTACATCACCTAGGGATTTGAACTTTATGGTACATATGGATTCTCCATACTTTATTCTTCTGGAAGCATTAATCAAAGTTTGGGATTTAAATGTTGATTAGCCAACAGCTGAGTTCCTACACACTAAGCCAAAATCTAACAAACCACATAATGATTTAATGTGATGCCTTCACTTTTTGTTGCCTCTTTCCAGTATATGTTTCAAAAATGGTTTGGTTTGATGGATTAACGACCTCATCAAATTTTTCCAGAAAAGGTAGGCATACATACTGAATTATTCTGTTTCCATTGAAATAAATCTCCCTCTGTTTATTAGCCTATGTCTGTATTCCCCCTAAGCAATTTATTTTGCAGAATGGCTGACGGAGGAGGATCTTTTAACCAAAACACTGTTTATTGCAGCTTCATTATTATTAATTCCAAAGAAAGTAGAATTGTTCCATTGCACTTCTATGGCTGACATTACTGTGGTTTAAGAAACGTAAATTTGCCATTTTAACAGGTGTTTACCCATTTTAGTGAGGGTGACAGCGCTTACAGCAAAGGATGTACTTAGGAGGAGGTAAACAGAATATTTTTTTTAATTCAAAAAGTGCATCGGTGACACAAGTACAACTCCTCCTCTTAGTCACTATTTTCTCTAATAGCTGCATGCTTTAAAATGTGCACAAAACTATTATCTCTTGCAGGAATATATCTAGGGCAAGGAACTGATTTTTAATATTTGGAATTGTCTGCAGTCTTTTTACAAATGTTTTCTCTACTGGAGATCAGCTGGGTCCACTGCTGTTATCTACGTGGCACCACTTTAGATGTCATTTTCTGTCCTGACATTTCAGAGGGTTGTGTGGTATGTTTGTATAGTCTGTTTTTAATACCTAAATTGTTTTACTGTGGTGTTACCTTTGGGTTTATTGTATGTATCTCTGCCTAATATGATGAGCAGACTTTCTTAGAAAACACTTTGAATACATAAATCATACTAGTTTCTTCCCTCTCAATAAAAAGTAGAGGAAATGGCAGTATTTTTATCCCTTAAAATCCCACATTTGGAGGTAGACACATTATGAGTTCAAAAACCTCGATCGTATTCCTTTCCAGATCAAACTTTTACATTGGTTCCCACTTTTGAGGAACATTCTGCGGGGCAGAGATCCCTTTGCATCCCATTTTGACACTTGGGCAATCTGTACTTGTACTATTATACTCCTTCCTCTTACCCAACAGGCAGAACACAACCATAAATAACTCCATGGGAAAAAAAAAAGTCAGTATAAATTAGCATGGGAACCCTGCAGATTCAAAAGGTCGGCAACGTTTGTGTGGAAAGCTGAGAAGAAGAGGAAAACAAAGTCAAAGAGAACTCCGGCAATCCTGCAAAAGCTTCACTATGACAAACCCTCCAAATTCGTTCATGGTTGTATGCAGAAATTCTAAGAAGGGAAGATTAGGTGATTGCAAACAGCCCTGAAAAGAGACAGTCTAACTATCTGTTATTTACGTTGTCTCCCTCCCTCCCCGTTTCCTTATTCTCACCTTCCTTCTGCTCTTCTTCCTAACTCAACAGGACACTGAAAAATTACCCCATGCCCACTTCTACAGATCAAATAGCTTTTGATGCTTACTTTCTCCCGGAAAACAGATGAGAGAGATCGACTAAATGGGATTTTGGGCCCAAGTGAACACAGCTAATCAGTCCCAACTGCAAGAAGTCTCCAAACTTGTGCGTGGTTAACACTTGTGGTTCCAGAAAGACAATGTCCGTTTGTATTTTACAAAGAAACCCACCCCACGGACTGAAAAAAAACAACAGTTGTTCCATGTTTAAGCAACATTGTGATTTAAAGGGGGGGAAAAACCTAACCCAGGGAGATAGCCAACTCTGAAAGTTGACTTTGCAGCCACCTCCCCATCAGGAGGTAGCCGTTGGACAAAAGCTGTTTTGAATATGACCTTGAGATGTCCTTGCAAGCAAACCAAAGCATAACACAAGGCAGCACTAAGGGTTGGTGAGGTGGGGAGGAGAAAATAGGTCACTCATCCAATCAAATTTAAGACCTTTTGTTTTCAAAGCTTCTTTCTTTCCCCCGTCTTTTCTGAAAAGCTTTGGACTCTCCTCTCTCCAACCAAAAAAAGCTAGTGAATTAATGAACTGGCCTTATTCACAAGTTATTGGGGGCGGGTGGGGGGGAAGAGAGAACAGGGAGAAGAGAAGGGATGAGCAACCATTTCTCTTTTGCACCCAGAAAAACAAACACAGTTCCACATTCATCACTCCCCCACCCCCAAAAGACAGAAAGAAAAGCACACGCTCAACTTCAAACCCTTATAGCTTTGTCAATACACTGCAGCTGCTCAGCGTAGCAATATTCTGTTACTACGCTCAGAGGAGGAAACACCCACCACTCCGAAAGAAAGAGTTGTTGTTTTTTAACCAGCCGATGCCAAATGACACAGGACCCATAAGGAGTTGATTACCCCTGGAATAATACTTTGTTCACAACTCTCTGGCATTTCTCACCGGTCTTAAGATACACAAGGCATGTCATGTCAACCTTTAAGGAAGAAAAGAAAAAAAACTTCCATTCCAGCTCTTCCCTCACCCTCAACTTCCACCTTGCCTTCCAACCCCCCCAATCTGCTCTAACCAGCAACTAATGCAACTCACAGCATGCTTTAAAATTCATTATTGATTATTCTTTCTTACCTTAGGTTGAGCTCTTCGGGGAAATGCAACTTTGGGGTCAATCTGCGGGGTGGGGGGGATGGAGGGGGGGAGAAATGGAAAGCAAGATCATTTGCATATTTTCTTCAGAAAGGCAAAAAAAAATAATAATCCTACAACTGAAAGATTGCACTGAATCATTAATCCTTCATTTCTCAGGAACAAAATTTCTTTCAGGATTAAACCTAGCTGGGAAAAGTCGTAACACGCAGAACAGAAAAGAAAGCAGCACGTTCAGTGACTTAACTGTTGGGAACTTTAAAAACTCTCCTTCCTCTTTCCTTCTTCAAACTGGTGCTAATTAGATCCTGAATGTCAGACGCAATCTGTATTATTACAGGTATTTAAAAATATGAACATTTTGGGAAGAGGATTATTCAGTCCATTTGTCTTTATTTTCTTATCTGCTGTTAATGCCTCCACAGTTTAAGAGACATATTTAAATAGCAACTGCCACTTTTAGCGAAGTTTTTTACGTTGCAAAAAAAAAAAAAAGGTGAACGATCAGATCTGATTTTGTATTTCACAGTTAAGCTGTAATGGAGAGACAAGACATGATCTCGAGAACCTGATACTAAGTTTGCATGTTTAGATTTGACCGCATGTAAATAGATTTATTTCCTTTCTTTAAAAAAAAAATCACCTGAAGGCATATTGATTTTTTTTAATAAAGGAACTTAACAAGAGAAGGTTTTTTCAACACTAACTAAAGTCCAATCCAAAGAAACCTAAGAATAGAATCCTATCATTCTAAAGCCACACATGTACACTTTTGTAAAGCTACCACTTTACAAAAAAAAATGATTTGCCAATAATACATTTTTAAAAAGTTAATAAAATTCAAAACCTCCAATCAAAAGCCCTCTTAACAAATAGCAAGCTCTACTGTGAATTATAAATTTGTTTCACCTCAAGTTCTCAGTCTTAATGTTATTTGGTTCCAAATGCTAAAATATTTTGAAATGATAATTTTATAAATAAATAAATTTATTAGAATCTCTTAAATAGCAATTTGGAGAAAGGGGTAAAATTGGGTTAAGCAGAAGTAGGAATTCTCTCAGCCCTCCATAAACTTTATACCTATAAGCATGTTAATATTTTAGATATGAATTTTACTTTTAATGGTTTCAGCATCTTCATCAATGAAAAAGGTAGTGCTGTTCTAACAGAAATAAAGGGGAATGTTAAAAGTTCTTTCCGAGGACAATCCTACATATTTCTAATAATTGAGCAAGTTCATAACAACCTTGTAGTTTCAAAAAAAATAAACTTAACAGCCCTTCTGCCTACTGTTAACTGCCAACTTCTAACTTTGTTTTCATCGGAAAAAGAGTCTTAGCCAAACTTTTGCATATATCAAAAGTTTTTGTTGTTGCTTTTAAAGTGTCTTTGGCAGGTAAAACAAAACCTTTGTTACTTGCATAGGAGATGATATATTCAAAGAGCTATCATTTCACACACAAATAAACCTTAGCCTGCACTTCAGGAAGGCCATTTCACTTGTAATTAAGTTTTTAGAAAGAAAAGCTATGTACCTGAGAAGTGATTGATTAGTCGCTACTGTAATAGCTCATCAAGCATACACAGACAACTCACAAAACTTTCATCTAGAAAGCAACCCCTTTCCTAGAGATTAACACCCATCTAGTCTCAGCACCAGCTAGAATATTTGGCTACCAGAGAAATACAACAGGTGTAGATTTCCCACTGTCCAAAACATTAGAAATGAGGCTGAAGGGTAGCAAACATCATACAGCTGTCATGTTAACTCCCCTTAAAAGTTTTAGCTGTTACTTTAAAAAGAAAAGAAGCATAAAATGAACACAGCAATTTTCCAGAAATTTACCCCAGGAAGAATGGGTATTATCCGACAGATGGGCACTTTTTCAAAACTGGAAGGAGCTCCGCACCTAGCCAGTCTGAGGCAACCCATTCGGCACATCTATACCTGTTGTGCATCCCTGTAAACTATTTAAAGAACAGCCAACAGAAAAAAAAAGAGGCTACTAAAAATAAAATTAGTTAATTAGGTACAATGCTACTTACTATATCTACAAGTCCTCTAGGAAATGACTAATAATAAGACTATTTCTGATAGCGATGGCCATTACCTAAACCAAGCGTCTAATGTAACCGTAAACAAGAGCAGGCAACTTCCGTGTCAATGGCAAACCGAGCCGTTTCCTGTGCTCAGAGTTGGAACAGGGTCAAATGCTAGCAATACTAAAGGACAAGAAACTATCAGAGGTCTAACAAGGCAACAAAAAAAAGTATCTTTATGTTTTGGCTGTTGTTTTTAAACGATGATTTTAAACCATTTCTGGACAAACCACTCAGGTGTGTGCGCTCTCATGTCCAAAATCAAAGCAATGCCATTTCATCCGGCTGGCATCATAGTACGATAGGAAGTTTCCTATAAGAATTTCCAAGCTTCCCATTTTTGACTCCCTAAAGTGGCCAGGGTAACCAACTTCAGATGCATAAATCAGAGTTTGCTCACATAGCTTGCTAACCTCTCCTGGGACCCCTTCTTCTCTGTTGTTCATTTTATAGGACAGTATAAATACGTTAGAATCAATGCCCATCCTTTGGTTTCATCTTTAAATGCCGCCCCCCACCCACCCACTGGCAGTACTAAAAAGCAAACAGTCATAAATATTCTTCCAATTAGTATATTTTCTTGGAGCAGTACATTTATTAAGTTACCTGCCGGTATTTTTATTAAAACTATTTTAAGGTTGGTTTCTCAGGATCCATTCCTGGATTATAGGGAGGCTTTCTCTTTCCCACCCACCCCCCAGAAATAATTGGGGAATGTTTAAACATGAGTGACATGCTCAGACAAGCCCAACAGGACACATACCCAAAGTTATTAGAATCTGGAGGGAAGACAATAAAGCAAAGCTTCACTTAAGGACACTTTTAGACATAATAATCTCATTAATTTTAAAAGAGATTCAAATAAAGCAAGGCTCTATAACTTTAAGACCATAATTTCTTGGTTTAAAGGACAATTTTCACACTTCCCTGCAAATCAAAGTGTAATGATGAAACAATAACCATCCCAAAACTAAATAAAAAAGAGCTTCTGCTCACAGTTTGAGACAGATTACTTTTATTGCTGTCTCTTTAAGTTACGGAATTAAAGTTGCAACTAATTAAATTGGCCAAACACAAACTTTCTTTCTGATGCTACAGAAGAGTTAGGATATCATGCAGAGAAATGGAAATTTAGTGGCAGGAAGATGGGAGCATCAGACAATTAATGCCCTCTTAAACCAAAATGTGTTTTTGCAATAGAAAAACTTGGAATATGATTAGGAAAGGAACAGAAACGTTGATCTTATGACAGTGTTGCAATTTTCCTTTGAAGGTAGCACTTCTCACTTGTTGCAACCTCTCAAAATGCCCTTTTTTAGGCTAGGAAAAAAATAATAACTTGCTCGGTATTCTAGAAAGGAAGGCTAAGGAAAATAATACTCTGAAAGTTTCTGCAACCTAAAATTCCCCTGCTCTTTCAAAAAATAAAGTAACATCTTTCTAATCTATCGAGAAGCTTCTCTAATTATTCCCCTCCACTCACGCAACTTGGATAGAGTATATGTTTTTGAAAACTAAATAGTTTAAGCATCATTTAGCAGAAGGAAAAATAAATACAATCAAGCTGAACTGTCCAGCTGACTAGTTAATATTTGAGCAAGGATGATTTCTTTTCTTTACAATATATAATGGGAACATGAGCTTCCAGATCTTGCAAGGTCGCCCAGCATTTCTTTGCACAATGATTACAGCATTAATAACCTATCACAATACCCCTTCCACCAGACCCAGCCAAAAGGACACTGTCTCTTTAAATGAGCCTGTCACATTCATAATATTGCAGGAAATAATGGAGACATTAAACACACACACACACACACCAATATCACATTGTGTAACGTACCGTCTTGGAATCTAATTCATGATGAGCTTGAGCTAATACTTTATCAACACTTGCAGGATCAGCAAATGTAACGAAACCAAACCCCCTGAAATAAGACAAAGAAGAGCTGATGGGGAAAAGGCACAGAAAATACTAAGAAAAGACAATAAATACATTAAGATGCTCCATAAGACACATCCTAGATTCTCATATTATTCTGAGTCATACCATCAGTCCTTGTCAGAGAATAGATTAGGGTTAAGGTGGATTATAAAAAAAAAACTTATGCATGCTTCAAGATTTAACTCCTTTTCCACCTCTCAATGCACGCATACAAAATCTTGCCATCTTCAGTTCATGCTTTGTTTAACCCAAAAGTAGAAAGCTGTGGGATTGGCTCTTTTTTTAAAAAAAAATACTTTGGTTAGCCAAACAAACAGTTAGAAGCAAGTTTGTCAAAATGAGACTTCCAAAAGCCTATTTAATTTAACAAGTTTCCACCAGAAAAAACATACATTTTCCTCCTCCTTTCAACATCTATATTTAAGACATAAGAGTTTCAAAAACAGAAGGAGCCTAGCTTCGAAGTTTTTGAGACGGCCAAAAAGCCAAAGGTTTTTAACTGCTTAATGCTTAATGTACCTTAAAGAACTGCTAACACTTGTTCAAAGCACACAGACCATGCAAGCCTTCCATATATATACATATATATATATATATCACAAGAAAGAAAACTTTGATTTTTTTAAAAAATGAGGACAAAATGGTTTACCTGGAGCGTTTTGTTGTTGGGTCCCGCATGACCATACATTCTCTAATGTCTCCAAATTTGCTAAAATAATCTCTAAGATTATCTGCGGAGCAGAAAAGGGGAGCGCAGAAAGAAAAAAATGGGGATGGGAAAGAGAAAGAGAGAGAAGAAAACAGAAGCAAGTGTTTAAAACATATCTGCATTAAAAAAAAATCAGCCACTTCAAGAAAGGGAAGAACATTTTATTTTTCCCTCAGAGTAGAAAGGGGGGACAAATGAATGGCCTGCACATTTTCCCCCCAAAAAATCTTTTTTTTTTCCTCCCCCCCTCCCTCGAGCCTACCACCCCCTCAAAAGTGCGCACACACGAATTTAAGGTCGAATAGAGGACTTGGGGAGAGAAGTGTTATTTGGAGCACATAAAGGATCTCACCAGCTTACTCTGGTACAGGGTGAAACGTGGTTTCTTTACTTGTGGGAAAAAGTGCTGAGGGGGGAGGTAAGGAGAGGGGGGGGGAGGAAGGCACCCAATGAAACTGACCTGGGATAACAACAAAGGCTCTATCAAAGGAGGCTGGGCTAGGCAGGATCCAGAGGGAGTGGGAGATGGGGCTGCCCCCCATCCAGCACCCACCCACCCACCCACCAGGTCCCCCAGCTTACCTGGGGAGGTCTGCCAACTCAGGCCGCCAATAAACATTTTACTGGAAGAAGAAAACAGAACAGAGTTAAGCAGAGATGTCAGATCGGCCATTTTGACGTGTAACTTACAAAAGCTAAAAGGAAGGGAGAGGTGGAAAGGGGGGGCGGTTGGGGGGGGGCGCGAGGGAAGCTAAGCCTGGTTTGGGAGGGGGGAGGAAGAAGAGGAGGAGGAGGGGAGATGGAGAGGGGTCGGGAGAGAAGGGGGGGTGGAGACAGACCCAGGCAAACGGACCCAAGGTGAGTAACTCCAAAAGAGCGAGCGAGCGAGCGAGCGACGGAGAGAGGAGAAGAAGAAAAAGAAGAAGAAGAGCCGGCAAAAAGAAAAGAAAGAAAGAAAGAAAGAAAGAGCCGCTGCTCGGTTCTCTCTTCGCCGGCGCCGCGCCGCCCCCTCCCTCCCTCCCTCCCCTCAGCGCTTCTCCCACCAGTTTTGCCCAAGCGAGAAGGGGTCCCCCGCGCGCCCGCCAAAGTGGCAAGGCCAGAGGAACCAACTTACCCGGGGTCGTGCTGCGAGTCGCTGGGGCTGCCCGAGATGGCTTGACTCCCATCTGCCTCCATGACTGCGGCCAAGAAGGACGGCTCGAGCCCGCGGAGAGAAGGAGAGAGAGAGAGGGAGAAAGAGAGAGAAACAAGAGCCCCCCCACCCTGGGTAAGAGCCCCCCCACCCTCCCCCCGGGTCGTTTCTCCCCTTGTTTTGGCCCCCTTCCCCTCCGATCGCTCCGCTTTCTTCTCTTTCCTTCTTTCTTTCTTTTTCTCTCTCTCTCTCCCTCTCTCTCTCTCTCTTCTTTTTTTTTTGTCTGCTACCGGTGAATATTACTGGCTGGTGGGGGGGGGGAGAGAGAGAGAGAGAGAAAGAGAGAGAGAGAAGCCGGCGAACCAGCCAGATCCTTTCACACGTGGGATCAGCTTAGCTTAGCTCAGCTCAAGTGCCTTCCTTCTCTCCCTCCCCCCTCGCTCCCTTTCGCTCCCAGCCATCGTCGCTCCGCGCAGCCAGCCCCGCTCCCTCCCTCCCTCCCTCCCGCCTTCCCTTTCTTCCTCCTCCTCTTCCTCCCCCCCCCCTCCCGGCCGCCGCCGCCGCCAGAACGCACGTGGGGCGGAGTTCTAGAACGTAGAGTAACCCATTCGGGGGACGTCACAAGCCGCCGAGGCCCCGCCCCCCTCGGCTCCTTTACTCCCGATTGCCTCCGTCCTCCCCCCACGCGGCGGCGGCGGAGGGGGGGGGGAAGGAAACGAAGAGATTGAAAGAGAAAAATTCTCCTCCCCGCCTTTCTTTGCGCGCACAAAACACGTGCGCGCGCGTACACACATATACACAAGCGATCATTTGTGTGTGTGCGTAATATATATATATATACTATTTCCACTTCATCCCATCACCACCACTTAATCGTGACCTGGATGCTTCGGCTGATCTCTTAGCTATGCGCTGCCTGGCTGCCAAGCACGGTTGTGCGCAGGAAAAAAAAAGCGAAGGGTTGGGCAGTGCCAGTCCGTCTTTTTTTCTCCCCCACGCCGCCCGCCTTCTCTCTCTCTCTCTCTCTCTGACCCCATTCCTCCATGGAAACAGATTGGCAAGACTTAATTTCCAAAATCCCTATTAAAGCAGTCGATGCCTTGATGAGGCCAACGGAAAACTGATGATGTTCTGAGGTAGCGGTTCGGCGCTTTCCGAGTTTTCTCAAACCGGGTTTATCAAGCTGAGGGGATTTTGCTGCTTTCTTTCCTGGATGGAGAGTTCTTGAAAACTCAAACGCTGCCGTGCCTCTTTTCTTTTTTTTTTCCCCTCAGAAACCTCTTTTTGGTCTACGAAAACCCTTTTTTTTTTTTTTTTTAAATCCAAACCAACTAGGGAAGAGAGAGACTAAAAGGGTTCCTTTTTAAGAAGAGATTGGGCAACCATTTTTCTGAAATGTTATAGGGTTTCCTGCCTAAGCAGGGGGTTGGAGTAGAAAACCTCCAAGTTCCCTTCCAACTCTGTTATTCTATTCTATTCTATTCTATTCCGTTCTCATCCTTGCAGCCCAATTCAATTCAGAATAGAGCTGGAAGGGACCTTGGAGGTCTTCTAGTCCAACCCCCCTGCTCAAGCAATGCTCTGTACCATTTCAGACAAGTGGCTGTCTCTTTTTAAAACCTCCAGTGATGAAACAACTTCTGAAGGTTGATTGTTCTCGCTAATAGGAAGTTTTTCCTTGTTCTAGGTTGGTTCTCTCCTTGATTAGTTTCCATCAGTTGTTCCTTGTCCTGCCCTCTGGTGCTTTGGAAAATAAGTTGACCCCCCCACTTTTTCGTACTGGAATACTGCTATCATGTCACCTCTTGTCCTAACCATACCCAAATTCTGCAACTGTTCTTCATATGTCCAATGATCAGGGACCAGGCCTGGGGAGAAAAAATACACAATTGTCCCTACCATAATATGATCCTTTAAAAAAAAAAAACTGCCCAGGATCTAACCCAGGAAGTTAGGTCAGTAAAAGAGCTCAGAGAGATCTGTTATTAATCTTCTGAAATTCACAGCTCACCTCCGGGGTTAGCTTAGGCTATTCTTCAGCTGCAAGTATTCCATGGTAGACTGCCCCTAAGCTGGGGAGTTCCCTATTATGAAAAGGTCCCAAGGGTTTATGAGAAGTGGAGAGGATGGAGAATGTTTTCCTTTGCTTTGTTCCTTCCAGCAACTACCCAAAGAGGAGCCAACAGCCATCAAGATTCATGTTTTATTTGATTATCAGCTATATGCCTCCATTTAGACATAGGCCTTTAAAACATCTACCTGAAATAAAAACCCTTGATTGGAGATTATCCTGTTTCCTCTTGGGCTCTATCATACAGATAATTCTCAACTTACAACATGTTCATTTAGTGACTGTTCAACATTACAACGGTCCTGCAAAAAGTGATTTATTATCGGTTTATCATGCTTATGACGGTTGCAGCAACCCCAGGGTTGTAGGGTTACATGATCAAAATCCAGATGCTTGGCAACTGACTCATATTTATGACGGTTGTAATGTCCAGGATCACGTGATCACTGTTTGCAAACTTCTGACAAGCAAAGTCAGTGGAGAAGCCAGAGTCACTTAACCGTGTTACTAACTTAAGTGCAGTGATTCACTTAACAACCATGACAAGAAAGATCATAAAATGGGGCAACGTTCACTTAACAACTGTCTCACTTAGCAACAGAAATGTTGGGCTCAATTATGATTGTAAGTCAAGGAGTACATATATGCAGAGAGAGTCCTTGTTTAGCATCCACAATTGGGACTGACAGCTTGGTCATTAAGTGAAGTGGTTGCTAAGTGAAACTGCAGCTGTGCTTACAATCTCACTTCTTCTGGTTTCCTTGGTTTTACAGACTTGCAAAGATTATTAATGTAAAGGCTGGCAGCAAAATTACTTTTCCATCGCTGTTATTATTGTGAATGGTCTCTAAATGAAGCAGTCACTAAACAAGGACTACCTAAACAAGGTTTCCTGCTTGAGCAGGGGGTTGGACTAGAAGACCTCCAATGTCCCTTCCAATTCTGTATTTTGCACATTCAGCTAAGTATTATATTGAGCAGATTAGAGGATCATGTAAAGGCAATGAACATTTATTCTTTGCATTTAGCACATATGAATTTTATTATTGTATTTTCTTTTACCTGTTTTACCCTGGAAATAGACCTTGTATTTTACCTTTATGTTATGTTTTTATACATTTATAAGACTAATCAGTCAATAAACTAACTCGTTTTCCAGCTTTATCCATCGATCGATCGAGACTCACAGCTATTGAATGTTTGATCCTCCATCGGTTTGGCTAAACTCTTTAAAAGCCATCTACAATTCTAAATCAATGATCACAACCTTATCTGATAGCAACACATCTACCCTTTAACTTTAACTTTATGTAAATGAGTCCTTTCTTCATCATTTTTGATTCAAAGAAAGACTCAAAATTCTAACAATTTCAGATGGGGAGTGAGTGAGAGAGACTCTCTTCCTGAACATTTTCTGAACAGAACATGATTTAATATACGTTTGTCACCTGAAAAAAAATCTCAAAATCACTGTATTCCTTCTCATTGATCTGCTGCAGACCCCAATCATTTTCTTCACCCTTAGCCACAATTTATTTTCTGGGAATTTCTTTCCCTTTCAATCTAAGCAAGAAACAGGTATGAGAAGTTGAGTTTAACTTGAAGAAGACTTCAACTTTAAGCAACACATCCTTCGGATTTTTCGAATAACTCCAAGTTGCAACACTGACTCCTAGACTGAACTTGAAAAAAACAGCTTAATACTTGATTAGTACCAATTTGGTTAGTCCTGGGATAGGGTACCACCAGGAAATCCAAAGGCTATACATAAAGATTTGAAAGTTGAAAAAAATTTAAAATAAGATTTAATAAATCTCAAAGTACAGGTAGTCCTCAACTTACAACAGTTCACTTAGTAACCAAAGTTACAATGGCACTGAAAAAAGTGACATGACCATTTTTCACATTTATGACTGTTGAAGCATCCCCAAGGTCACCTGATTTACATTTGGATGAGTCTCGGTGGCACAGTGGTTAGAGTGCAGTACTGCAGGCTACTTCTGCTGACAGCCGGCTGCCTGCAATTTGGTAGTTCAAATCCCACCAGGCTCAAGGTTAACTCAGCTTTCCATTTTTTTGAGGTGGGTAAAATGAGGATCCAAATTGTGAGGGCAATATGCTGACTCTGTAAACCGCTTAGAGAGAGCTGTAAACAGAGGTGGTATTCAGCAGGTTCTGATCAGTTCTGGAGAACCGGTAGTGGAAAGTTTGAGTAGTTCGGAGAACCGGCAAATACCACCTCTGATTGGCTCCGCCCATATCTATTCTCCGCCTCCCAAGTCCCAGCTGATTGGCTGGGTTGTCTTTTGTTGCCCTGCACAGGAGAATGGAGCTGGAAATCAGGTTAGTGGGGTGGGGAGGGAATGGGATTTTGCAGTAACCTTCCCCCTGGAGTGGGGTGGGAATGGTGATTTTACAGTATCCTTCCCCTGCCCCGCCAACCAAGCAATACGACACCCACAAAGCCACGCCCATAGAACTGGTAGTAAAAAAAAATTGAATCCCACCACTGGCTGTAAAGCACTGTAAAACTAAGTCTAAATGCTATTTCTTATTGCTATTGGATGCTTGACAGTAGCTCAATGCTGCAGTGATCATGGGTGCAGAAAATGGTTCTATCACTTTTTTCATTGTCATTGTAACTTAGAGAAGTCAGTAAAGAAATGGTTGTGTCAAGGGCTACCAGCATCTCAAACCCAAGGCATAATCTCAGGCAAGGCTATAAAAAAGGAGTTAATGAGGGAGTCTGTGGGCTATGGCTTCCAATCCCTGCAAGGCCCTAGAAATTGCATTGAACTACAATTCCCAGGAATCCCATCTATGATGCATGATGGCAAGGAATGCTGGGAATAGTAGTTCAGTAATATTGGAAAGCCATTGTTTCCTGAGACTGAGCCCAAATTTTGGGCTTTTGTTCAGCTAGCATTCCTAATACTGTTGGATATTCACCAGAGGCAACTGGCCTAGGAGCAGAGAGCTGCAGAAATAAAGGCCGCCAGACATTTAATTATTATCTGTTTGTTTAATTATTATTTAATCTATCCTATAAGGTAACTCAGGGTAGCTCTTGATATATTTCTGTCTAACATTCCCAGTCACTTTTTTGGCTGTCACTTCTTAGTTTTTTTTAGGTGGGTTTTTTTCCTAGTGTGCATTCAGGAATACAGGTAGTCCTCGACTTCGCTTAGTGACCGTTTCAAAGTTACAACCTTAGGCAA